ATGTTGGAAATGTTGAACCGTGTTTCTTCCTTTTACTTTTTGACGAAAATTCATTTTTTTTATCTCTTTAATGAAGAGATGTTACCTTGGTTTTAGAATGTTGTTGGAATGGTTTCTGAAGTTGGTATTGATGATGTCTTCGTGCATCTGAATGATGAAGAACCATTTTTTGTTGCTGCTTCTGATATTGTCTTGTTTTAAAAAGTGCAAGCTGGTGGTGATATTGTTGTTACCCTTGCGGTTGTTTGAGGAAAAACCAAGCCCAGTGATAATTCTATGTTGAAACTGAGGGTTGTACTTTTATTTGTCTCTAACTGTCTTTTATGGTTTTTGGAAAGAACTCATTATCTCTTTTTCTTCTTTGCAGGATTTCAGAATTCTGGTGTAGCTGGCTAAACTTTTGATCTGTCAGAGAAGTCAGAGATTCTGTGAGGGCGGAAATCTGGATAGCAACAGCCTTTATTGTAATTGAAAATTCTCTTTTATGAACCCATTTTGGAATACCAACTTGTATTTTTAAGTTTTAGTGAATGTAAATTGTAACAAGATTTTCTTGAACTTGTGAAGAAATATGGGTGGTGCCTTCTTTTGGCTAATAATTAAGTGCTTGTTCCCTTTGAATTTCTTTTGGGACTTCTTTAATTTTGAATTTTGGAACCAAGTGGAACTTGTGAGAAACATGGAATTGTACTTGAATTGTAATACCATTCTTGAACCTTATTTATTTGGATTAACCCCATTAAAAAACGCCTTGGTCTTATAATCACATGATAAATCTTGATGCACTTTTTGATTGAATTTTGAACTCTTGATGACTCAAACTTGAGTTTAAATATGAGAAAAATGTTTGAAAGAAGTCATTTGTTGGAAAATATGCTTAACACTTCTAACTTTGGAATCCACTTGATATTGAGGAAAAGAGGTGACTTTGAACTCTCTACAGTGATCCTGTCTTCACAAAGCAAAACAACAAACTGGTTAACGGTTAGCTAAAACAGAGATGATGAGCTCAAATGGTATGCGAATGATCAGTGAATCTAAGAATAAAACTTGGGGTACAATACAGATCTTATAACTTATGCCTTAATATCTGCAAGTGAGGTTCTAGACGAAGAACCTAGAGGCTATAAGGAAGTTATGAGAATTTGAAATAAGACTGAATGGCCGAAGGCCATGGATGATGAGATGAAATCTCTTTATGATAATGCCACTTAAGAGCTGATTGAGAAACTTGCAGGAGACAGGTTAGTTAGTTGTAAGTGGATTTTCAAGGTCAAGGAATGAATCAAATGAGTGATGTCGAAACGCTTTAAGGAAAAGTTGGTTGCTAGGAGGTTCACTCAAAAAGAAGGAGTCGAATTCAAAGATGTGTTCTCACCTGTTGTAAAGCATAGATCCATTTGAATGCTATTAGCCATGATGGCAAAGTTCGACCTGGAACTTGAACAAATGGATGTGAAGACAGTCTTCCTGTATGAAGATCTAGATGAAACGACCCTAATGTGACAACCTGAAGGGTATGCAGAAAAGAATAAGGAAGATTATGTGTGCAAGCTGAATAGGTCTTTGTATGGCCTGAAACAATCTCCTCGATAGTGGAATAGGAGATTCGACAAGTTTATGGCACATATTGGTTTCACTAGGAGCCAGTTCAATCATTGTGTTTACTTCAGATTTTGACCTGAAAACTCACTTGTTATTTTGTTGCTTTATGTGGATGATATCCTCATAGCTAGCAACAGTGTCAAGGATGTTATGGAGGTGAAGACTGAACTCAATAAGGAGTTTGACATGAAGGATCTGGGAGCTGCGTCCAGGATTCTTGGGATTGACATCTGAAGAGATAGAAAGCAGTAAAAATTATACTTATCTCAAAAGGCATTCCTATGGAAGATTCTCGACAAGTTTGGTATATTGAATTCAAAGCCTGTTGTGACTTTGGCAAATCCTTAGTTTAATTTTAGTACTACTCAAATTCTGAGTACTAAAGCTGAAAAAATCTATATGAGTATCATTTTATATGCTAGTATAGTGGGTTCTTTGATGTATGTTATGGTTTGTACGAGGCCCGACATAACATATGCAGTAAGTCTTGTAAGCAGGTACATGACGAATCCTAGAAAGGCTCACTGGCAAGAATTGAAGTGGATTTTAAGATACATAAATGGGTCTCTGAATAGAGTCCTAATTTATGGTGGAGTCTTGGGTGAAGATAGTAAAGCAACAATTGAAGGACATGTTGACTCTGATTATGCAGGTTGTATGGATTCCATAAAATATATTTCTGGATATGTCTTCACAATGTTTGACACATCAATTAGTTGGAAAGCAACACTTCAGAAGGTTATTGCCTTATCAACCACCGAAGCATAATATATTTCCCTCCCTGAAATTGTGAAAGAAGCATTGTGGCTTGAAGGTTTTGCAAAAGAGTTGAAACTTCAAGGTCGAAGTATCACTGTTAAATGTGATAGTCAAAGTGTAATACACCTGTCGAAGAATTCAGCCTATCATGAGCGAACCAAGCACATTGATGTGAGGCTACATTTTGTCAGAGGGGTATTCGAGCGTGGAGAAGTCCAAGTGCTTAAGGTTTTGACAGATCATAATGCTGCTGATATGATCACCAAGACGTTGCTCAGTTGTAAGTTTTTCCACTGTATGCAGTTGATAAAGCTGCATGAAAAAAAACTAGTTTGTTTCTTGATGTTATAGAGTTAGATCCAAGGGGGAGATTTGTAAGATATTGGATCAAACTCTAGTTTAACATGCCGTCGAAGTCTGCTCACATGCTGTTGTCGAAGACCTACATGCTGTAGTCGAAATGTGTTTTAGTATGTAGTTGTCGAATTGGACCTTGTCTTAAAGATCCAATTGTTTAAGTTAGTTTGAGTAATTGTTAAAAAGCCCATTAGTTTAGTATGTTATGTTTTATTATAAATAGCATACTAGTCTTTATGACAGTGTGGTAAATCCTAATTAGGGTGAAAAAGTTATTTGTTATTCTTGAGTACTTGTAATCTGATTTAGAGAGAAAGTAAAGAATAACAGTTATAACCAATCCTTGTTGTTCTCCTTTTTGTTTTTCCGTTAACCCTAACCCTTGTGTGTTTCTTGTTCATAAAGAAACCGTTTATACTTTGTTTCAAGACATCGTTTTTCACAAAAATTGAATTAAAATCAAAACAACCCCAATAGTAATCCTAAAGAAACAACAAACAGAGTACCGTCGAATCGACGATCCTCACATTCGAGTACTAACGGATTAGTCAGAAATACTCATGGTGAACAATTTAGCTTTTGTTTGAATTGCGTAATTAAATAAATAAAGCGATTCAAGTAAAGTAAAGAACATGCAATAAAAAAAATTAAGTAAGGCGAGGAAATAAAGCAATGCGATAAAATAAATAAAGTAAGGCGAGGAAATAAATGGGCAAGACAAATAAAATGTAAATAATGATGAAATTTAATAAGAATCCACTCCAATTGGAGACTTGAATCTGGTACAGTGAAAATAGACGGAAAATAAGACGGAAAATAACTTGGACGGAATGTAAATGTAGGCAAGATTAAAATCTACAATGTAAAGTGATCCAAACTCAATGACAACAACAGCGCAATAACTCTCTGTTGTGAAGAATTAGAGCTTTTGGAATGTAAATTTATGGTCTAAGTTGCAACTAAGCTTGGATGTCCTTCAAAGTGAATTCTAATAACTATTTATAATGGTATCAAGCCTTGGAAATCAGGTCACAACTACTGAGTTCGTGTGAGAGAAAATAGGAGTCATGAGGTAAATTCTCTAACTGCCATTGACTGGGGCGAATTTACCAAAGATGGCGACCACCATGTCCAGGGTGGCGAATGCCACCTTCACAAATTTTTTGGACTTGGTCTTTGTGACCGTTGGTGTGTAGGACACGTCATCCACCTCATGGCCACCTCCATGGTGAACGCCTAACTGGACGCCGTGTGTGCAAACTGCTCATTTTTCTCTGTTTTTCATCTGATTCCCTCTGTTTCTTCGAGTATGGCTCTCTTTTGGCTATGTACTTGAAACAAAGGAAAAATACAAGACTAATATTAAAAATGAAAGTAAAACGATAATAAAACATGTGCGAGTCGAGTCAAATATGCAGTGTGTTTCAGTGTTATCAGTTGTCAGACACACACAATAGTAATCTGTTATTATTTTGTTGTAGTACTAAACTCTCTGCTTTATTTTTACGGTTTTATTACATTTTAGATTTCGATTGTACAATATTTTCTACATATATTGCTATATTATTTTCGACACACCCAATATTAGTCTCATATTATTTTGTACGTCTATTTTTTTATTCGAGATTGTGCATCTGCATCTGAAAACAAATACACAACTTATAGTGAAAACACCTGTTCTGATATACTTTGGAGATGTATCTCCGGAATATTACTAGAAATACATCTCCAGAATAATTTAAATGTAAATGGTTTCGAGTGAAAAGTTTTGAGTGTTTAAAATAATTTCGAAAATGTATTTCCAAAATATGTCAATGTTTATTTAGAAATAAATGTGTCTGAAAATATATCTCCAAGATCTAAGGGCATTTAAATAATTTTACTTGATGCCTAAGAATTCTTTAATCTTTAATTAATCTCCAAGAATTGACCTAATGGTGGATATTCGGTCTTGAAAGTATGTTCCTCTTCCCGCTAATGCACTATGAAATTGATTTTCTTGAATTAGTCGGTCGAAATATCAGATACCAAGATTTAAAAAAAAATTCTTTAATTAAAATAATCGATTAATCAAAGAGAAAAAAAAAGTCTTCATAATTCCCCCAAAATAATTGAGAAAAGAAGTGACGCTGCTTCTTCTTCTAATTCTCGTTTCATTTTGCGAGGTTTTTCAAAATCGAAGAAACTTTGCTTTACTTCACGGAATAACCATAATTAATCTCTAAGCCGTACCCTAATTTTCCTTCGTTCGTTCTTCATCCAAACCCTAATTTTCCACCATGACTGAGGTATGATCACCCCAATCTCATCTCATAATTTCCATTTTCATTCCAAGAATGCATTTTTTCTTCAATTTTCGTATTCCCCTAAAGCTCTGATACCTAAATTCCAAGTTAATGTAAACTATTTTGAGGATGCTTATAGTTTAGGTGAATTTTGTATGGTTGTGATTATGACTTGTGCTTGATAATTTGTATGTATTTTTGTGTTTATGAACTCTTTTCTCTTTTTCAGTACTGGGTAAGTCAGGGAAACAAATGGTGTGATGTCTGCAAAATTTTCATATCAAATAACCCTTCCAGCATAAGAAATCATGAGCTTGGACAGCGCCATAAGGACAATGTTACTAAGCGGCTCGCCACTATGAGAAAAGATAATGTTGCTAAAGAGAAAGAATACAAAGAAACTGCTAATGCCCTTGAGAAAATCGAAGCTGTAAGCATTTTTTCCGTCTTTTATGTTACTCGTGTTGCATTGCCTTGTCGTTAATTATTACTTTTTCATAGGTTTAGGTTCATAGATTTATTCCATTTCATAGGTTCTTATTAGTTGAATAAGAACCTTTTTAAATGTGGAATTTACTTATAAATAAAATGTATTTGAAACCAAACTGCAATTCATTTATCGAATAAAGGTTCTCAATCAAGCAAACTCTGGATTATATCAAGATGCAGGCCAAGCCATGTCTGGTATTTTCAGTTCTTAGCGATAAAATAACTTTAGTGGAGTAGTGTTTTCAGTAAACTTAATATATAGTATGTATAACATTAGTGAAACTCCACTTTAGAGAAATGCGATTTTCAACCAGGAGCACGGGGATCTATAATCTAAAATGTAATTTCTCCATATATTAGCTTGTATGTATTTTACAAAGTTTTCCTGAGAATAGCTTATTTTTTGTTTCGTATTTTTATGTTCTATTTTTTACCATTACCATAAGGGAACAGGGCTGAGTTATTGTTATTTGATCTATACTTGAAATAGGAAGGTTTTTGTCTTCATGATATATGAGATATTTCATGTAGAATGAAAGGCATAGATATTAGAGGTAACAACTAACAATATAGTAAGGACAAGAATATGCCGAAAGCTTTATGATTACCTACTTAAGTGTTAATAGCAATAGATTTGATTTCCAAGGCTGAGAAAATTTAGAAGACTAGGAATTTAATTTTTGAATTGGTTTGGTAAATGAAAAAAAATTCATGTTTGTGTCTAATGTAGTCAAGCACAACATCTTAAGTAGGATTGACTGGCCGGTGAAATATCCTAAAACTAGGAATGTAGCATGACACGTAAGATCCTACCGAAGGGAAAAATTATAATACATAGACAAAATAACCTATAAATCACAACATTCAACCAATTTAACTAATAATTATAGCCATCATTCAATAACATAATAAGTTCAAAAGACATCATCTTAAGTAGTCAAAAGACATAACCATCATCTTCAAAAGAGGCAGCTTTTCTGTTTGAGAAAATTCTGGTTTATGGGTTAGATGAAGCACTCGCTTTCTACTTAAAGTAAACCGAGATTTTTAATAAAAACCAGATATAGTTAGACAGGCCAGGCTTACGATCTTGATCACGCTGGCGACGAAAATGATCTTGCTGTGATCATAGCACACTTTCGCAGTCATGGCACGTAAGATCTTATGATCTAATAATCCAACACTCGATCTTGACTACATTGTGTCCAACACTAACTCATGACAAGTGGATGTGTCAACTGTTGTCAAGTAGTTGCTATAGCCCCATTACAGTGCTAAAGCGTAGCAGAATTTAGTACAAGGTGTTCCCAAATAGCCAGCATAGCGTCACTATAGCATTGTGGCGTAGACAAATTTGGACAAACTGATATTTTCCACTATCTGTTATTGGCAACACTGGATTAATCCTAAAAATACCAAGCATCCCTCTTCAATCTACGCCCAACATAATCATGGACACTGCATGCTTCCTAGTGTTTTACCCCATTGTTCCGGCCTCAGAGCCTATGAAAGTCATAGGAATGAACTGTGATCCAAATGCAGAGAACATATGTGGTTCTCTCACAATATTCTAACAACTTCTCTCCAGGAATAGTTGCTGCTGGACTATGTAAGAATGATTGAGTAGAAGTTTTCAAGCTAGAACAACTCATAAGGCACATATTATGGTTTTAGTAGAATTCCAGCAACATATTATTTTGCACTCTCTTTCCAATTAGTTCTATATTGAATGTACCCCCTAGATAACCCATAGCCACTGTGTTAGTGCTCTCAACATGGAATTTCATCCAGTAATAGAGAAAAAGACTGTCCAAGAGTCTCCTGCTACCATTTCTATTGTTTTCAATCCCATAAAAACACTTGACTGTGAGTGAGGGTTGTCATGAACCACACAACTAGATATTTCAAAAGGTTAAGCTATTGAGTGAATCTACGTGTTATATCTAATACAAACACTCATGCAAAAGCCCTTGAGGCTTGAAAATAACAATTGACATGTACACCGTACTTTGTGCTGAAATTTAACATTAGTTAGTGGGGGACTGTAATATCAAGAACAACTTTCATCAAAAGATTAAACTATTGGGTTAAAACATTGAATTGTTTTATATTTTTATAATAAACTATTGGGTTAAAACATTTCTTCCAATTTAACAATTAAACAATTCTCCAATATATCTTTCTTATCTATCACATCCTTTTCATATCTAAATTAAGATATGTAAATCTACATATAAAATATTGAACTACCAGTTTTAATCTTCAAATTATGAATTTTGAACCCTACAATATCTGCATTTGTCATCCAAGTGTTTTCTTCGATTTATTCAATTCATTCTCCTACATCATTCAACATAAAAAATTTCAAATCACAATCAAGATATTTCTGAGCAATATTACCAATCAGATACTCTTACTTGCATCATTGTTCTGTGGAAGCCATTGTTTGGCCTCCACGTCAAGAAGAACTTTGACCATAGCTTGTACTGCCATAATACTGTGACATGCTACTAGACTTTCATTATTAGATTGATTTTTTTACACGAGGGGCCAATGTGACAGTGCATCATCGTGCAGTTCTTCATCGGCCCATAGCTCCAGTAATCTGTAAAACTAACTAAACAATTTAACACGGTTCTTTACTTTTTCCCTACATGCTTAAATCCAAAGTCAACTATAAACACAATATTACTAGATAATGTTTGTGGGTACAAACCGCCTCTTCTCTATCCCATATGACGTACTCTTATTTTTGAGTTGTGTTTTCAGCGATGCTCGTATCTTTGGCATCATTGAGTTGCCTTCCCAATCATGTTCTGTATTAGCCAGTATTATATTTTTCTTTCTAAAAGACTATTTCTAAAAACTTAAAAGTTTTGTAAGTTTAGCTTGTGGGAAAGTATTAGAATGTATGGAACATTTATCATATACTAACATTACAGTATCATAGTTGGTCTCTTATTAGAATTTGTTGAGACAGAGAGAGAATTGAATTACCAAGACGAGTGAAATCTAATCAGCATTATTCTTGTGAGGATTTCTAGATATCCATGGTGGGCTTTGATAGCGTGCAATGAACCAACTAATCCCAAAAACTTGAGCTATTTTGGTGAAAGGTCTGATACATGTCTTGAACTATTTCACAAGCATGAGCTATTAAATGAAGCACAAGAATGATTTTATATTTGACAAAGATCTTGGATTTCCAAAGGGTATCTTTAAGTAAAATGTTGACTTTTTTAAAGTTTCGGAAATGAACTGGAAGTAGCAGGAAGTTTATTGATAGGTCTGTTATTGTTAGTTAGGTTGTTACATGTTAGTTAAATATTGTTAGTTAACAAGTTTTTACATGCTAGTTTAAATAGTTGGTTAGTTGATTAGTTAATGGGTAGTTAGTAGTTCTATTGAGAGGTAGTTGGGCCAAATAAGGCATCCTGCCTATAAATAGAGGAAGATTAGAGAGAGGGGATCTGGTAATTTGAGAGGAATAAGACCTTTTGGCATTGGGAGGTAGGATGACCATCGAAGTGCCGCCATTGTTTGTAATCATCATAGGGCATTCTTCCCCATTTTCAGTTATAATACAATATACCAGTTGGTTCTATCATTTACACTTCTCTTTGAGGGAATGGATTAGGTGACTTTGGCTTTCCATAACTTTGGTAACTTTGATTATGATTTAGGGGAGAGAAAGCAAAAAAATTGGAGGGAAAGTAGATGAGTGAGAGTGATATAGGAGAGAGATAGAGAGAAAGTCATGGTGACTTTCCCTTCCTAAAGTCACCCTGGGAAATATTAATGTTTCAGGAATACTTGTTAGTTCATATGTTATTTTTAAATTTGCACACACAGATGAGATATATAACTTTTGATATATTTATTTCTTTATATTCTAATGCAGAGAGCACAGCTTAGCTATCAAAAGGATAAAGCAAAGTTTGAGGAAGCTAGAGAATCACATGAATTGGATGCTCAAGGTGGTAAGTATGAACTCTCTTGCATCTATTTCTCTTGATAGAGTTCTAATTAACAGTTAATTTGCATAATCTTATACGCATTAACATTGAACCCTTTATGTGTTAGACTGAGAAGTTAGAATTTGTTATACATAATTACGATTAGCCCAGCCAAATTACCACCCCTTTTGAGAAACCCGGGCAGCCCTTACTGTTATGTAGTAATCTTCATAATCTTTTCTAGGCAGTTGAATGTGGTATACGGTATACCCTAGCTTCATATTTGGTTTCTTTGTCATGAACTCTGAACTCAAAAAACTGTGTTAGTGTATTTCATTACTTTTTAAAAATTGATTTCTCATGTCGATGCTGATATTGGACAAATGATTTGGCAGAATGGGAGTTTGACAGTGCTTCTGGCTATTACTACCATAAAACAAATGGATTTTGCTATGATCAAAAGTCAGGATTTTACTATTCTGATGCCATCGGTACGGGTGTTATACTTCTCATTTACATGTATATAGTAGTAATATTATTGAGTTGATAACATATTATTATTATTTACTTCGGAAATTTCAACAGGTAAGTGGGTGACCCATGATGAAGCATATGCCTCACCTCACTTTGCATTAAATTCCGGGCGGAATATACCATCTGGGAAAAAGGGATCAACCCCTTCACAATCCAAATCAATTGAAACCAAACCAATCAAACATCTTGATGGACTGTTACCTGGGCCTGTTCTTAGAGTGAATCCCATGAGAAATGCAAAAGCCGCCCCGTCATCTCTTGCTGTCGGTAAGAGAAAGAGACCCAATGAAAAATCCAAGGTTGTCTCCCAAGAAGAAAAAGAAGCTCTCAAGGCAAGAGAAGCTGCAAGGAAAAGAGTTGAACAGAGGGAAAAACCATTGCTTGGGCTTTATAACAAGCCTTACTAAGTGTGGAATATTTGCTAACAACCCTTGTCTTTTCCCAAAAAATTGAGGGTTATATATGCCTGACTGGTTTATGCTGACATCAACCCTGTCTTAGTTATCAAGTGTTTTGTTTTTTTGTGAATGCACCTTGTAAAATATGTGTAACTGTTCCATTTTTATGCAATGCATGTTAAATTTCTGACAAATTTGCACATGTGTTTTGGGAAAGTGTTGAAGGAGAAAATGGCTTCAAAGTCTGATAAAATGGATGTTAAATGATCCTTGTTGCATGCTAAATGATCCTAATATTTTTTCCTAATCTAAAACACAATCCAAATTAAACCATTATGGACTAATCAACTTTGTAATATCAGATATCAGAAGTGAATTTAAGTTGACTTATTTTCAAGGAATCGGTGTTACGAATTCCCAATTTTACATGTTTTGCAAATATTTCAATCTCAATGGTTGATTTAACATTTTGCAAATATTTCAATCTCAATGGTTGATTTAACATTTTTTAGCATCCAATGTTTATGATTTAACATTCACCAATGACCTGTTTATGTGTAGGAGATGCCAATTTGCATTTGTACTAAGAATTATAATTTTCCCATCTATTATCTCTCAGAAACTTTTGAATTGACAAAAATATTTTATAGTTCTATAATACAAATCTATTCAATATATCTCCTACGCTCAGAAATAGAAATCTATTCTTACCACCTTTTCTCCCTTATTTTGAAATCTTACTAAAACTCTTAGGGTCATTTTGGTTTAAATGAGAGGAAGGGAAAGGGAGGTGAATAATTTTTTTAATTAGATAAGTGTTTGGTTCAAAAGAGAGGAGGGAAGCGATTTTAATTAAAAATGTGTTTAGTTCAGAAGGAGAGGGGAGAGATTTTATTAATAATTTACATTTTTATCCTTATGATCTTATATAAGTCATATGATATTAAAATGTGAAAAATTCATGCGTATTTTTGTTGATAATAAAATTTCTAATATTGAGCGATTAAAAAGATATTTATTTGTCACATAAAGTTAAAAAATTGAGTATAATTGATTCGACTTATAACTTTCCAACATAAATTAAACTATATGCCAATAACATCGTTTAAATTGTGATGAATCATATAACAAACCAAATATATAAACTAACTTATTATTAAATATTAATGGTTCAAATTATTTTATAAAATGGATAAACAAAAATAAATAAAATGAATGGTTTACAATTTGATATAAAAGAAAATATGATAGAATACATAACAAAATTAAAAGAAAAAAACGAATATGACTAAACATAATTTTTTTTATAAAAAAAGACAATGATTATAATTTATATTAAGTATAGAAATTATAAAATAATTTGAAGGTGGAGAACAATTATAATAAATTGATGGAAAAAATGGAGAAAAAACAATAACACGAAAGAAAACGAATAGTTTTGAAATACTGAAATTAAACTAAGAATATTTTAGTAAATATAATAATTTTTAAATATTAAAACTCATATTCCCTCCAAATCTCCCAATTCGGAGGGAACCAAAAAATGTGTTTTGGAGGGATTTTGCTCCCCGTCCTTCCTAAAATTTGAACCAAACATATTTAATTAAAAATTTCTCCTCCCCTTCTCTTCATCTACCCCGAACCAAACACACCTTTAAAAATATGACATTTGTGTTTTAAATGACAACAATCAAATCTTCAATGAACTTTAGACACATCATTTTTCTCTTAAAGCAAAGTAATGAAACTCTTAAACTTTTTTATTGTATTTTATAACGGGTTCATTACATTCATGTCACCTACTAATCAGACCTAATGACAAACACCTCAAATTGTAATTTCAGACTCTATAATCTGAATTGATGTGTTTCCGAAAGTAAATATTTTTCTTAAATTAGATTGATATGCAGTATTTTAGATATGGATGCTCATAATGAATCTCCTCCACCTTATGTGTATGTTATTGATGTGAAAATTGATATTGTATCTCAAGTTGTCAATGCGGAAATTATCAATGTGAAAGTTGACAATGTAACCTTTGGATACATAGAGTATTGATTTTTGCCTATAGTTAATAACTGAGAAAAAAAATTAATTCACGAGATCAGTTGTTGACATAGGTTAGAGGTGAAGCACCAAAGTTAGAATTTATTATTGTTACTTCAAGATTAGATTCATGTGGAATAGAATTTATTATTGTTACTTCAAGATTAGATTCATGTGGAATAAATAGAACTCCATTTCTTTTATTGAATTATGAAATAGAGGGTATGTATAAGGGTGTAGATAGGTTGAGTCAATTCACAAAATTCCATCAAACTCTAAAAAGATTCAAAAAAGTGGACCGAGTCAGCTAATTGGTGGATATTTTAAAAATTAAAAAGTCTATTATAAAGTTGAATTTTGAGGAATTAACCTGCCATCTCTAATGTTTTTTTAATTTTAAAACTATCCTTAAAAAAAATTTGAAACAAGGAAAGTTTTTTTATATTACCGAAAATTTTATTTTTTAACAGAAATTTTAAAATTTTTAATAAAAAATAAAAAATTTCCAAAAATAATTACGAAGAATACCGAAATTTTTAAAAATACTTTTTTACCGAAAATTTCAAATGTACCGAAAATTTAAAAATTTTCAATATTATACCAGAAATTTAAAAATTTAAAAATTTTCATTATACCCTTTCATATTTTTTTTTCAAAAATTTCAAAATTTCAGGTAAAAAAAAGAAAAAATTCCAAAATTCTCGATACATATTGCAAAGTTCCGATAAAATCACATAAATTTTTTAAAAAAGAAATTAGTTTTTACAAAAAAATATAATGGTAAAAATACTCTAAATAGATGGTGTCAGGTATAAGTGGGGGGTGACAAGTTAAATGCTCTCGGATTTCATGTACAACCGGACTCAAAGCCAAAAAAATCCACATACCCCCTAATCAAATATTTATTATTATAATTTTAATAATTTTGATGAATATTAACTTAATTGTTGCTATTTTAGTCTCTTGAACATTTACTATTTTAGTGAGTTATGACTTTAACTAATTTTGAATATTTTACTCTTAAGTTATTTTGATGCTAATACGATTTTATGTCATGCAATTTGAGTTTGTTGCTAATATTTCATGATATTTTTTATTAATTGATGTCATTATTTATTATTTTATGATACTATAAAATAGAAAAAAATAGGTTACCTAATTTTTTGTAAGAAGATAAAAATGTTGAGAATAATTTTTATGAAAAAAATGATGACTAATTATTTAGTCATTTAATATTAATAAAAAAATTATTTGGGTAACTCACTACCCAACCCTCCCGAATCCAAAATTAGTAGATTTTCTCAACCCAACTCATTGGTGTAACATGTGGTTATTTTATCTCACCCAAATTGAAGTGTTCGATATATATATTAAGTATTGGATTTGACCAAACCAACCTAAACCAACCCATATACACCCCTGCTATGTATCAATCGTACAAGAAAGAGAAAAAACGTATAGATGAAACACTAAAAATGTGAGTATCATTTTGAATAAAGGGTTTTTTTTTAGCTCTGGTGTATGGAGTCTTAACATTATGAGTGAGGAACATAATCGTAAGTTAATATTAAAAAAAAAAAAAGCAAGACGTCTAAAATCGGAGGAGGTGAAGGATGTTCGTGAGATCACAGACAATATGGTTCTACTGAGAGATATTCTTATGAGTTTAAAGAAAAAAATGGTTGCAATATTATTACTATTATGTGGGTTGCATATGAGCATAGAATGGTCTAGAAAGGGTTGCAATAATATGAGCATAAAATGGTTGCAATATTATTACTATTATGTGGTTGCAATAATATTACAATTTTTACATATATAATTATTAAAAAGAATGTTTAGTTGATTAGATCAAGCACAAAATTAAACTTAAGCATTAAATGAGCTACAAAATCTAGCAACATACAATTTTAGAAAGCGATTGAAGCCTAATAACATGAAAATTTATATAAAAATTAAAAGAGAGGGATGAAAAAAATGTACACCACAATTTATACTAGTTCGATGCGTCGTTTTTACTTGCATCTAATCTAGTCTAATTGGAAAGTCATTAAAAATTGTTGAGTCTTCCACTAATTCAAAAATAATTAAAAGTGTCTTTAAATACAATAGATGATTACAAACAAACTGAAAACTCAAAGTCAATTGCTAAGTAACACATATTTGAATCTTAATTTTTCTTCTGTTATTCACATTTCACAAGGCTGCAAATCCTTTAAGATCTTCAATCAATATTGAAATCACCACTTCCATAGAACCAATTCATTCCAAAATTTTGTCTGCATCAATCTTCACGCGATCCTACCAAAATTCTCTTGTACGAGTCTTTAACTTTTTGAAGGAGTTAGAAACTCTAAGATTTCGTCCGCTGCGATCTTCACTTGACCCTATTGAAATCCCCTTGGAGAAGGAATTCTTATTTTTCTTTACTAGATGACAATCTCCAGATTCACAATCACAATATGATTCTTCAAACTGAAAGCAAAAAAATCTTTACAAAAATATTAGAACACCTAATGTACCTCAGAACTACCACTCACACTCCTTTTTAGAGTTGAGTAACCACAACAATGGTGTTTTTGGATAAAGGTTGGATATGAAGATTTTCATAAAAATCTCACACAAAACTTGTTCACACTCAGGAAAAAAGTTTTTCTTCGAGCCTAATTTGAAAGAAAGTTGTTGTGATTGAAAAAACACTCAGTTTTTCAAAGATTAAGAAAAGTTGCGAACTTCTTTTTTTAGAGAGAAAACGAAATTCATTTATATATGTACTAGAGATAAGGCACAAAATAGGAAAAAAAAACCAACAATTTAATTTGAGTCAAAAACCAAAAATAATGATTTGAATCAAGTGGGAGAGTAACTTGAAACAAGGTGAGAAAATCACAATTTTCCTTGTTTGATTTAAGTCATGACTTGAATCATGTGATTTGAGTCAAGCCAATCCATGACTCGAGTCA